TATATAAAGCACTAAGCACAGTGTCTCTGGCACACACAAGAACCTATACGTGTTCACTAATATTTTATGGTAACTTCATGTTTAACTAAACACAGATGTTCCCTAATATACCAAATGAAAACCAAACAACATCAAGACCCTAGAAAACTGCACATGAAAATATCAACACTAAACATTTAAAACATTAAAATAATTCCAAAATATGACACATATACGTCCTGTGACAGATGTATGATATCTATAACAGTAGCTTCATTTAAGTGTTTTCCCAGGCTCCAATCCTTCGTCAATCCATCCTATCCACTAGAGGAAACTTCCCAAAGCAATGCTGGGTTTAAGTCACTCCCTGCAAGAACCTTAACGACTCCATACAGTACAGGGTAACCCTCAGACCCCAGAACCAGACTAAATGAGCCACTAGCACACTGTACTTCACAGTATTTACCACAGTTTGTAATTACATACTTGAGTGATTGTTTGGTTAATACCTTTCTCACCACTAGAACGAAAACCCAGGAAGTACGGCCTGCATTTTACCCACCACTGTCTATCATAAGGCATGGCCTGCTGCAGGTGGCGGTAAGTATTTGATGGATGAATGAATGGCCCTCAGCAACCATCAGGGCTCACAGCAACACCTTGTAGGTATGACCCTTCATGGCTTGCAAAACACTCATATAAATTTTCTCATCTGAGCCTCACAGTAAGCCTTTAGGGAAGGCAGAGGCCCCAAATTCAGAGCCACCCAAGGTCACATTCAGTAGCAAAGAACCAAAGTGCCAACCCCTAGTCTGGAGTTCCTTCCAGAATATTCTCCTGCCCGAGTTAAATCCAATAAAACATACTAAGGCCTCGGCCTGGCCTCACACTTTCCAGCCTCTGTGGTTTTCACTCTTTCCTTCTACTCACCTAGAACTGCCTCCGACCTCTTTTCCTGCTTTTCATTCATTCAGCCAGGATTTATTAAGGACTGTGATTGATGGGCAAACCCTCCTTCCTTCAGGACCCACTACTGTGTCATATATGTGCCATTTCTAGTGCATGGACATCCGTGTATTTACTCAACAAAATGTCTTTCATTGTACAGACATTTATTTGTTCGTTCAATATAACAGTGAGCACCTACTAACTGTCCTACTGCGTGAGGTTCCAATGAGAACTGCACAGTTGGAATACTGGTGTCCTAGTGGTTTGAAAAACTACTGCAGTTTCTAGAAGAGAATAACAATGTAAATCAGTCTGCTTTAAAAAGCAATACAATTGCTGCTGTTCACAGTCTGAGACATCCCAGGTACCTTAACTAAGAAGTAAAGCAGCCACCAATATCCACGAAAATAATACAGATTTTATCAATTTTCATATCATTTTAAAAAGGAATACAGATTAAATTTATGTACCATCATTTAAAAAAAAAAAAAGACTCACACAACGACATCCACAAGCCAAGTATCTTCAGGTCTACTCCACCAAAATGGTTTTTGTACATCAGGTCTTTTAAACAGTTATCGGCCCTTCTCAAACTTGTTGGAAACAACCTATTAAGGAATCCGATTCCTCTGAATTACTAGCACAGAACCACAACTCTAAATACTACAGCAATAAACCTGCAATAATCCTCGTGAAATACAGCATCAATTAAATGTTGGTGCAAGAAATGTAATGCAGAATTACTGCCGTATTAACACTCCCTGAAGATAAGTCACCAAAGACTTTAAACAAGTGAAAATCAAATCTATGAATATTTAACACAGCTGGCTTTATTTAAAATTTCCCATTACACACACACTGGCATAAAACAGAGCCGCAAAGGGTTAATAACGCGAGATGATATATGAATTCAGAAGAAAGGAAGACAGCAGCCTAGGAATCTTCCTTTATCTTGGAAATGACAATATTTTACAGCCTCGGGGGGAAAGAAGACAAAACAGTATTCCATAATGTTAACTCATTACCAGATTTAATAGAAACACTACCCAACTAATTTTAATCCTCCTCTTTCTTTCCCACCTAAATTTCATTGCTGAATTTAAGAGGCCAATCTCAGATAAGACAAAAAGGAAAGTTTCAAGAACACAATAACGAGAGGAATGGACAAAAACCTGAGAAATCATTTGTCTCGAGGGCAAAGGCTTGGGTCTGAATCCGTATAAAGCTGTATGTCTGTCTCTACCTCACGATCTCCTACACGGACACAACTGCTTTCAAACACCGTGGTCCCACAGGTCTTGAACAAGCCTAAGGAAACCTGCAGAATGGTGGGATTGTGCTGGTTTGCTTGCTTGAGGGTCTTTAAAAGTAGAGTGAAACTTGCCCAGGTGTTTTCTTGTATCTTCCAATGGACCAAGGGGCCTCCCCACCCCCATTTAAGTCTCCCGATCACTCTGCCTTCCCACACCTTGACCATCTACGAGGCAGTGATTTATACATCCCAGAGAAGCCATGACCAGCCTCAAGGAGCCTCATTAGGAAAAGCTTCCCTTTTATTAAATCTAAAGCTCTTCTCGTTGTGCAGTTTAATTCCACTCCCCTCCCCCCTCTTTTTTTCTTCTGTGAACTCAGTAGAAGGGAATAAATCTCTGAAAGAAAAAAATCCCTTTCATCTCACAAAATAATCACATTTGCGAATTCTGTGAGTTAACAGAATAGGTGTGCCCTTCAAAGAAGGGAGGACATTAGTGATCAAATTTAATTCTATCATTTATATTTAAAAGATTCAGACCTAATATGGCCTTGTAGAAACAAAGCATTTAATATCTCCTTTGATTCTGAAATTGTACGGGTCTCCCTGAAAGTTTAAGTTCACACCTTCACCTACATTCAGTTCCCAGCAGGTGCACAGAGCTTTTCCTAATGGCTTCACTGAGTCACTGAGTAGGTGCAGATACAACACAAGGCCCTTCTGTTTAACTACTGCAGTTGCCCTTTGGGGTCTTCTGCTTCCTTACCTTGTTGGACTGGGAAGATGATAGGAGATGATATTCCAGTCTGTCAATTACACCTTACTCCTAATTCTTGATTTTAACATACGCGAAGGATGAAATTGAGAAGCTACTAAAATTGTTTTTGAATGTAAATTATCCTGAGGGCTAATTATGTACAATTTCTTCATTTTCCTTATTCAAGCAAGTGAATCCCAGATAAATTTCCTTTCAGGTCAAATTTTTCTTCCCTTATAAATTCATGACTAATCCTATATAACCCTAAGACTACCTTACTCACCCCTCAAGAACTCAGTATTACTATATTATCCTGCTGGAGGAAAGGAGTTAAAACTTGTCTGAGAGGGACTAACATAACATACTTCGGCATGAAGTTGTTATCACCAAGCAGAGTTAAGGTTAAATAACCCTGTAAAAGAAACGGGGAGGGAGCCTGAGAAGTACCTGACCTCCATTCTAAGACAGTTACACAAAGGTTTCCCAAAGGTTTTCCCCTTTCTAGCATCCTAGTTACTCTGTACCTCTGGGGTGAACATGGGCCCCCAGCCTCAGCAAGCTAGTCGTAAAAGTAAGAGCTGCCTATATTTACAGCCTCTACTTTCTCTCTTCCCGTTGAGTTCACCCCAATCAGGCTTTCATCCCTGTCGTTCTATCAAAGCTGCTCTTGTCAAAGTCACCAATGGCCTCCATGTTGCTGAAGCCAGTGGTCAATCTGAATCCTTATTCTAAGGGATGATTACTCTGTCTTGAAACATATTCATTACATGCCTTCTGAAACCCTGCCCCCCTCTTTCTTTGGGTTCACTTTCTACCTCACTGACTCCTCTTTCTAGGGTCTTCTTTGCTGGTCCCTTCTCATCTTTGAACTCTGGATTCCAGAATCTCTCATGTATCCAATTGCCTGCTCAGCCTCTCTACATGAGTGTCTAGCGGGCATCACAAACTTAAGTCCTAAATCAAATTCCTACTATTACCACCTAACTGGCTCCTCCCAAAACCTTGCCCATCTCAGTACATGGCAACTCCATTCTTCCAGTTGTTCAGGAGCCATCCTTGCCTCTGCGTTTGTTTCCTCTCTTTCTCTCCCCTCTTCTCTCCACTTCTAATCTAATCTAATGGGATAACAGCTCTACCTTATATGGAGAACCTGACCACTCACTACCACCTCTAGCACCTGGCACAGCGAACATCATCTCCTGCCTCAGTTATAGCAATGCCTCTGCTTCCTCCCTTCATTCTGATCTCCACAAAGCATTTTTTACAAAAAAAACATAAATCCGATTATTATATTATTAAACTGTTCAAAACCCTCTAATGGCTTCCTACCTGTTGTGGGTTGAAGTGTTTCCCCCACAAATTCATATGTTGAAGTCTTAACCCCCAACGCCTCGGAATGTGACCTTATTTGGAAAGAGGGTCATCACAGATTAATCAGTCGAGGTCCTTAGGGTGGGCCCTAGTCCAATATGACTGGTGTCCTCATAAGAAGGGGAAATTTGGACACAAAGACACACACATAGGGAGAACGCCATGTGAAGATGAAGGCCGAGACCTGCAAGCCAATGAACACCAACTACTGCCAGCAAATGATCAAAAGCTAGGAGAGAGATGGAACAGAGACTCTCTCACAGCTATCAGAAGGAACCAACCCTACAATACCTTGATCGTGGACTCAGAACGTCCAGAACTGTGAAACAATACATTTCTGGTGTTTTGCCATGCAGTCTGTGGTACTCTATTACAGCAGCCCTAGCAAATTAATACACCACCTCACACAGAATAAAAGGTGAACTCCGTGCCACGGCCCGAAGGCCCCACATGACTGTACCCCGACTCACACACTGGGCCCCTTGATGTTCCCCCAACAGGCCAGACACACTCCTCCTCAGGGCCCAGCTCTTCCCATAGCCCGGCCTGCTCTGCCCCAGCACCCTCAGTTCCTTTAGGTCTCTGTTTAAATGCCACCATAAGGCCTCCTCCCTCCAACACTCTCCACTCCCCTCCCAAGCTTTATCTTCCTCCATCACTGTGCTGTCACCTCCAGATACTTTAAACACTTACTGTGATAGACTGGAAGATCCACTGCTAAGACCCGCAGAGCAGCTGCAGGTAGACAGGCTCCAGGGCCCAGCTCCTCGGGGTCAGCTGGTCAGCCTTAGTGCAGAGAGCTTCCGGCGGAAGGCCACACCCCTCCCGGGGCAGCTGCACCTGGTAACACACCTGAAAGGAGTGAGGTCATCGCTCAGTGTCGGAACCTCTGCCAGGGAATCCAGGTCACTCCAGAGGTCTCCACAGGCTGGTGGGGGCTCTGTCACGTCAAATCTGCATCACAGTTCAACTTCTTCCTCGGCCCAATGCTGCTTCCACCCTCTTCTGTTCACCGTGTTGATCCCAAATAAACATCTTGTTCCCCCAACTCCATCTCAGCGTCTGCTTCAGGAAAACCCAACCCTGAGACACTTGTCTACCTTCCACAACCTGAACGTAATCTTATTGAGGGAAGGGACTTTGGTTCAATGTGTCCCCAAAGCCTAAAATACTACCTGGTACAAAACAGGAAATGACTAAATGGGAATACTGGAAGGAAGGAAAGGGGCGGGGCGGGGCGGGGAGGGAAGGCATTGACCATTTGGATAGGAGACTAGCCCCTGGATAAAACAAAAGCCTCTTAATATAGTCACAGAGCAAAAGGAATACACACTATCACAATGAAACTAGGCATGAGGTTTCTAAAGTACACATGGCTATTTGATTTCAGAGAAACTTCGAAATAAGTTGTGCACAAAGTTCCTGAGATTCGCTTATTATCTCGAGACTCCTGACTCTTCCCTTCCTCCTAGGATTTTAAATTTTGCAACCTCAAGTTCTACCATGGAGAGGGTTTTCAGGACCCTAACCTTTAGGAAAGATACTGTATAATCACTGTTCGATAGCTTTGTGACATCTTATATGTTAATTCTTAACTCCCACTAATGAGAAACTCTGCTCAGCATTGATCATAATAAATAGCTTCTTACAGCCTTTCTCTTTATTGACTGCGTCTTACTTCAAGCCTCACTCAAGACATTCTTTTTTCTTTCTCAGAGAACTGCCTTTCACTTTATTGCAAGACTAACTGCATTCAGCTCTGGCAAATGATTTAAAATATATTTTCCATGCTCCACAGCTGGCTACTCATTCAGACCCAAATAGAGCTGGTTTCTACCGGGTTCCATATCTCATGGCAATTCAGTCAAGAATATGTGAGGTCTGACTACAAAGTAATAAAGCTGGGAGGGTTGTGTGTGCTTGGTTTATAGAATTACTTTCACTTCTTTACATATCATTGCACGATGAGATTCTAAGGGGAAAATGTAAAGACATGTTTAACACCAAAACCAACAAAATCACCCCTAAACTAGAGTTACTACTGTTCCACTGGTCTGAACTACTCTAAGACAAATGGTTTCAGAACACTGTGTTCCTAGAGCCCAGGAATGTCATACATAGATGTACCTGAAATATTTTATAACCATAAATATGAATAACAGAGTCTTCCCAGTGAGACCCATCTAATTTCATCAGCCTTCTGAAATTACATCTTTCACCAAAGCAGCCTCGGAGCACAAAGGCAATAAGATAACATTAATTAAAATACATAAAACCATCCAGGAGTAGCAAGGAGTATGCGACCTTTTTTTTAAGGGTAGAAATTGAACTAAAAATAGTAATCAATGTTTTGCCAGCTTAAAAAGCTAGGTCTTAAAAAAAAAAAAAAAGCTAGGTCTTACACAGTGCCTGAAGCTATAACTCTACCAGACCTTCTCCAAGGCAGGATAATAATTAGCATGTTATTATTCATTTGTCTGGTATGCAGCTAACTTTGCAGGGTGCCTGTGCATGCTCACTTTGCAACCGCGAGCTTCAGTTCTCTGCTACCTGGTTGCCATTAAGGAGAATCCAGGAAGTTCCAAAATACAATGTGTCATCCCTTACCGCTATGCCAACAATCGAACCATGCAAAAATGAATCCTAATGAGACCCTCATTATTATCACTGCTGAAGTTCAGCTCTCCACTCCATTTGGAAGACATCTGGGGACTAAAAAGAGAAAACAGATTCCTGGGACATTTCAGAAGACTGGCCATTCCTGTCGATGACCTACCTGGACAAGGCAAAAGAAAAGGATCTTAAACAGGCAGGAAGGTTTCCAGCTTTGGTGCCTGTGGGGACGGTGGTGCTGTTAACGACGGTGGGGAACACAGCAAGTCCTAAAAGGGTTAAAAGGTGGTGGCATCACACATAGCTGGCAGGGATGTAAACCTGTACAACCACTTTGACTCCATTAAGGCTGGACGACCAGCAATCCCATGCCTAAGAATACACCTAGAAGAAATGCATGGTACGTGTCCACCAAAAGGCATATACAAGAATATTCATAGCACCATTATTCTCAATAGCCAAAAATCGGGAAACCAACTATCTGTCAACAGTAATGTGAATAAGTGGAAGTATATTCACACAGAGCGGAAAAGAATGAACTACTGCAACTCACAACAACATGGGAGGTTGAGCATTAGAGCGCCAACATGAAAGAGCACATACTGTATGACTCCAAATATGTGAAGTTCAAAACAGGGAAAACTCAGCTACAGTGACAGAGGTGTAATGGGAGGGATATCCTATGGAAGGGGACAAGAGGAAAGCTGCGGGAAGGATGGAAATGTTCTCTATCTTACTCTGGCTAATGGCTACACAGGTGCATACTTACGGGAAAACTCATCCAGCTGTACACCTAAGATTTGTGTACTTCCCTCTACAGAAGCTATGCCTTAATTTTTAAATTTCACGAGTAAATTAAATTCTCCTAGCCCTGCAGCTTTACAGGGATAACAAATCCCTTCCTCGAAACAACTCACTCACCACAGCTACCTGATAACAAAACAGGCCCACTTCAAAAATCAAGCGACAAAAGCGTCTTCACAGACCAAAGTCCTCAGTACAAGTAAATGCACATTTATGAACATCTGTATGTAATTTATGTACCATTGAGCTTCCCCAAGGAAGTCATTACCTAAATGTTCTGGACGTGAAGAATCTGGCTCCAGATTCTTCAGGTGTAGAACTGTGGCCCTGACATAGTATGTCATCTCCTCTCTCCTACTTTCTCTAAAACCCCCCAGATGTAATTTATTGATCCTTCTTCTGTGTTAAAGGAACAGGTCTCCATACGCTAACACTGTTTATCTGTGAGCCCCAGGGAGACAGGCTGGGGTCAGTGCACTCACTTTTGTCCCCTAAGCACCTTATACACTGCCCTAGCACAGTGCAATAAATGTGTACTGGATTTTGAACAATTCAACACACCTTCAGTAAAATTCTTTTAAACCTTCATGGCTAGGGACTTCCCTGGTGGCGCAGTAGTTAAGAATCCGCCTGCCAATGCAGGGGACATGGGTTTGAGCCCTGCTCCAGGAAGATCCCACATGTCATGGAGCAACTAAGCCCATGCACCACAACTACTGAGCCTGTGCTCTAGAGCCCACGAGCCACAAATACTGAGCCCACATGCCACAACTACTGAAGCCTGCGCGCCTAGAGCCCGTGCTCCACAACAAGAGAAGCCACCGCAATAAGAAGCCCGCGCACCACAAGGAATAGTAGCCTCTGCTCGCCGCAACTAGAGAAAGCCCGCGCACAGTAACAAAGACCCAACACAGCCAAAAATAAATAAAATAAAAGCTTACTGGCTAAGAAATTGGATTTAAAAAACAAAAACAAAAAACTGGCAGAATTCTAGTCTCAGCTCAACTACTTCATGTACTAAAATTCTTTAATCTCAAGATTCCTTTCTAGATAACCAGAATATATTTACTTAAATAATATACATTTCATCCACTGATTACCTCAACAGTAAAATAGGAAAAAGATGAGAAAGACCTGGGGGAAAGAATGAATGTAATTGGAACCTACTATGTGATAGGCCCTCTCTTAGGCACTTTACCTACACACATTATCACCTACAAACCTCACAACCTTTTAAGGTGGGAATTGATCTCTCCAGTCCATAGATGAAGAACACTGGGGTGCGACTGGTCCATCATCACAGTTACGTGCCAGAGCTAGGATCTGAGGTACAGACTGAAGAACACCAAAGCCTCAGACTTTCTCCTAGATGATGATTCTCCCACTGGCATTCCTGGGCTCTCCAAATGGAAACCTGGGGCTCCCCAAGGCTACTTTCATCAGCAAGCTTCACGTTTCCTTGTGGAGGCTGCTGTTTTCTGCATCATTAATTCTGCAGCTCTCCCAAGACCCAGCTGGGAGCAGGACCACCGTTTCTGCTGTTACTGCAGCTGTCTGAAAAATACAGCACAGCCTTGGGCAGGTTGGAAGAGCCTGAGGAGGTGTGGGAGAGGGAGAGAGAGAGAGAGAGAGAGAGAGAGAGAGAGAGAACACACACGTGTGCACACAAGCAAGAAGGTGTACGTATGCGTATGAACTCTAATAATAAGGAAGTAAAGATAAATTTTAAGTCATCCAGAGAAGTGGTCACATTTCTTTAATATGGTCACATCAGGATCTAATACATTAGTCTTTACTTATTGGGATATTTGTATATTTGAAATATCTTAAGACAAAAGTTTACAAATAGATATAGATACACCGATATCAATATGATATATAAATACACACATCTGGAAGGTTACCCACACTATTAACTATTAACTATGCTACATACAGGGAGCAGGAAGAAAGAATGGGGCATTTATACTTCATTCTGTATATCCTGAGAAGTAAATAAGATAAAACCTAAAGAACAAACATAAGTTTTCAATAATTACTACAGTTTTATACAGAGATGTGATTTACTTTTAGATTTGACCCAGCTGATCACACCTCTCCCTTGAAATACATCTTCACTTGGCTTCTAAGACATCACACTCCTCCATCACTGCCCAGTCCCTCTCAGTCTCCTTTGCTTCTTCTTCCTCTCATCTCCCCAACCCTAACTTGCCAGTGCAAGTCTTCTCTAACTTCACTCCCTCTCTGGATGATCTTTATACTCCCAAACCTGTAACTCCAGCTCAGACCTCTCCCCTAAGCTCCAGACTCCTAGATCCAACTGCGGGGTCCACATCTCCAATCAACGTCTGTTAAACACATCAAACTGCCATATTCAAAGCTGAACTCCTGATCCACCTTGTCTTTATCCATTCAGGCTGCTATAACAAAATACCATAGAGTGATGGCTTTAAAGCAACAGAAATTTATTTCTCACAGTTCTGGAGGCTGGATGTCCAAGATCAAGGCACCAGCAGATCCGGTGTCTAATGAAAACCCTCTTCCAGGAAGGATACAGACTGCCAACTTCTCATATCTTCACGTGGCGGACAGCACAGAGGGTTAGCAAGCTCTCTCATAACTCTTATAAAGGCACTAATCCCATTCATGAGGGGTACACCCTCATGACCTTATCTAAAGGCCACATCTCCTAGTATCATCACATTAGTGGGTAAGGTTTCCAACATAAGAATTTGGTGTGGGGACACATTCAGACCTTGACACTCCCTCACCAA